AAATAATGGGGGCTCTGCTTCAACTGTTAAGAGCACTGACTGCTCTTGCAAAGGACCTGGGTTCAATTCCCAGCACACACATGGTGGATAACAACCACCCATAACTCCAGTTCCAGGGGATCCGATGCCCTCTTCTGACCTCTGTGGGCACTGCCCAACACGGGTGCACTTACAAGCATGCATGCAGACAATATACACAAGATAAAAAAATAAAAAAAGGAAGATCTCTAGTTTTGTCTTTATAGTCTCTGTAAGAAGGATACAGTATTACAGCATTTTTACAGTTTACAGAGGAGGGGCAGACATTGAAAATCCGGACTTATCAAAGGTCACTAGCAGATGAGGCTGACGTTTGAATTCAGATGCATCTTTTTTTTTTTTTTTGAGAAACTATGTTCTTATGAGTTTACCAGTCTAAAGATTCTGCATTTAATACACACACTGCATTATTTCTGATTGTGAAATATTCTTTACTATTTTCCTTCTTGTCCTCATGACAAAAATCCTTTAGCACCGAGATCTTCAGGTTCAAAGCATGTGTAAAGAAGCCTTGAGGTCCAGAAGGCTCAAAGACCAAGTCCTGAAAAGCTGTGGATCCAAGAGACCAACTGAAAAATTCTAACCATAGGATTCTTTGGAGAATATGTATTAATGTGCTTCCCTATTTGGGGACAAATGGTGACAGCACTTCAGATGAAACATTCTAACAACTTTCTAGCAAGGCTTCTCCATATGAGCTGCAAGTCTCCCTCTGCTGTGTACCCTTACATTGGAAGCCAGCTGTTCCAGTTGCCGGCACCCGTCCGGGAGGAATGGCTCAGCTCCGTGTGCAGTTTGCTCACTCCATAGGGCCTCGCTTGTTTCTGTCCTGCTCTAGCCTTCGTGCCTTAGCCCCGTCTCTCAGGCTTTCTCATCATAGTTTTCCCCTTGGCGGTTTGCTGGAGGAATTCTGTTTTTGTTTTTAAATAAAGAAAATAATAGCCAGGCATGGTTGTGTCTTTAATTCGGGAGTCAGAGGAGGACGGATCTCACAGATGAGGCAGTCTGGTCTACATAGCCAGTTCTAGGTCAGCTGTGGCTACAGGGAGACACTGTCAAAAAACAACAACAACAACAAAAAAGGCCCCTGTAAAAAGGAAATAATTACTTCCATGGGAAAGCTTGCTTTTTATTTCATGATTTGCATGAATTGAAAGTTATAGGTGATTGGTCTCATTGTGTGTGGGTCTGTGTGGGAGTGAATGTTTGCATGCATGCATGTGCATGTGGAAGCCAAAAGAAAATCTTGGGTTTTATTTCTAGGCACTATTCACTTTTCCTTTCTTTTTCTTTTCTTTTTTAAAAACAAGGTCTCTCACTGACCTGGCACTCACCTAGAAGGCTGGGCTGGCTGACCAGTGAGCCCTAGGGTTCCCCTCCCTACCTCCCCAGTGTGGGATTACAAGTACTTGCTACCAGGCCTGGAATTTTTATGTAGGTTTTAGAAATTGAACGTAGATGGGTTTGCAGAATAGACACTTTACTGGGTGAGCTACCTCCTCACCCAAGTCTCATTTGAAAAATTAACTAAATAATTTTCATTGTAATGATTTTGCAAATAATTTAGTCACACATATCACTTTGCATTTAGAGGAAGTGGGAAACCCTGGATGGTTCTAAGACTCTAATGATGACTGCCTGGAAAAGGGCTGGGCTCAGGCAGGCATTCTCCAGACTCTAGAATGCTCACCCGCAAAAGAACAGCATGGTAACATCTTGTAGAAGTTACATCACAGGGCAAGAACTACTCTGAGGTGATCAGAACACTGTGTTTCCACCTACATTCTCCAATTCATACTGTAGTATGTACACAGACTCAGGAAGTGAAAAAAAAAAACAAAAACCAAAAAACAAATAACACCTCGGAAATTGTATTCTTTCTTCTTGCAGTTAAGCAAGAGATACTGACCTCAGAATTGACCTCTTGTTGCCAAAGGCAAAATTTTTTTGCTGTGGCATAATTTCATAATACTGAAAGACCATGAATTCATGTGTGTATGTCAGGGGTTGGCATAGAGAAAAAATAAAATTTGGATTTAAGTATTCATAAAAGAAAATGAAGGAACATACTTACTTCAAGGCATTAGAGCTTGGGCTACAAGGGAGGCCCTGTCCAGAAAAAAAAAGGGGGGGAGCTCAACAGGGAGCAGTTCTCTATTCCATTCATTTGGTGCATTGTTGATGAAGTTCATCATAAAACAGCAGATCAACGAGTGAGTGAAAGAACAAATAAATAATAAATAATTTCTGACCAAAACCCACACATATCATTATATGCCTTTAAAAAACCTGACTGTGTTAAAAAAAAAAAGTCTAGTGCTGACTGCTGCAGGGCATCACCCACACAAGCCCATCCATCCCAGACCTGGGTCTGGTGTGTGTAATGGGGAAGGACACACGGCAGGGGCCTCATCAAACCAAGGAAGGGTCAGAAGATTCTTACCTGTAAAGTCATAGAGCTGTGGCAAAGCATCCAGGATGATGCCAACCAAAGGCAGGTAAAGGGTGGCGATTTTGACCTTCACCTCTGATTTGACACACCGTGGATCCAGATCGTGGGAACTCAGCAGACTGTGGATGGCGCTTACGGCTTTCCTCTGCACTCTGCTGATTCTGTTGGCATATAACACAGAGAAACAGGATATGGTGAGGGAGACTGAAGAACGTACTCTTAAACAAGAGTGATCAAAATGATCCTCAACAATGAAGTGAGGATGTGAAAAACCAAGCAAAATAGGGCAGGAGAGAGAGACTGCCCATGTTATGATCCCTGTCTGTTTGACTGGCTATTTCAAGTTTATAGTATCACTTGAGAATTCCATTCCTTTTGGGTACTGACTAATATTCCATTGTGTAGACAGAACAATTTCATTTATCTGTCCATCAGTTGGTAGACATTTGGGTTCTTTCCCCTTTAGGGTTACTATGGATTATGAATGTTACTATGAATTACAAGTTTCTGCGTGGGCATAAATGTTGTATCTCTTGGGCATGTGCCCCAGTAGAACCACTGGAATCGTAACTCTATTTTCAGTCTTTAAAGTATAAGAAAGTTGTTTCTAACAATGCCTTCACTATTTTACATTCCCACCCGCAGTATCTGAATGCTGTTATCTGTCTTTTCTACTTTGTCTTCATTGTCTCTTTTCTTTCAGTTCTTGGGATTAAACCTAGGACCTAACTCGTCACTCCTGCCTGCATGCCTTTTCTGTTATAATCACCATCTTAGTGGTATGGCAGGATGTGGTATTTACTTGTGGTTTTCATTAGGCATCGGTCTGACTGTTAGTGATTCTGAACATTTCTTTTCATGTGCTTATGATCATATCTTCTCTGGAAAAATGTATATTCTGACCTTTTCCTCTTAAAAAAAAAGGTGAAGCCTAGGTAGATGTGGCATAGCACTTGGGAAACTGAGGCAGAAGGATCACAAGTTGGAGGCCAGCCTAGACTACATAGCAAGTTTGAGGCTAGCCTGAGTTATATAAGGAGATCCTGTTTAAAAAAACAAAAACAAGCAAGCAAACAAAACAAAAAAAAAAAAGTTAATTTTGGGGCTGGAGAGACGGCTTAGTGGTTAAGAACACCGGTTGTTCTTACAGGGGACCTGGGTTTGAGTCCCAGAACCCACATGGTGGCTAACAGCCATCCACACCTCCAGTTCCAGGGGATCCAACACCCTCTTCTGACCTCTGCAGGCATTGCAGCACACGGGTGTATTTACATACATGCAGGCAATACATTCATACATAGAAAATAAATAAAAATAAATAAGTAGTCGGGCGTGGTGGCACACCCTTTAGTCCCAGCACGTGGAAGCAGAGGCAGGTGGATCTCTGTGAGTTCGAGGCCAACCTGGTCTACATAGCTAATTCCAGGTCAGCTAGGGCTACAGGGAGACCCTGTCTCAAAAAGACAAAATAATAATAATAATAATAAATAAATGAAATAAAATAAATAATAAAGTAAAATATTTTTAAACTAATTAATTAATTTTATTTATTTAATTTTGGTCTTTTTGAGACAGGGTCTCCCTGTAGCCCCAGCTGTCCTGGAACTCACTGGGTAGACCAGGCTGTCCTTGATCTCACAGAGATCTGCCTGCCTCTGCCTTCTGAGTACTTGGATAAAAGGCATGAGCCACAACGCCCAGCTTAAAGTATTTTTTAAAGAGTTAATTTTCCTTTTATATACAAGTTCTTTATTAGATTTATTGCTTGTAAATATTTTCATTCATTTGTGGGCTATCTTTTAACTTTCTTCATGGTGTCCTAAGAATCACAGAAATTCTGATTTTAATGTTTTTTAGTTCAAGTTTATGAAGATCATCACTCTGATTTTATCTTATCTAAGGATTTATAGTTTTAGCTTTCACACTTGGGCCTTTGATCTATTTTAGTTATATTTTCTGTAGTGTGAGATAAGGGTTCAGCTTTAGTTTTTCCATGTGAATATCCAGTCATCTCAGTAACACTTGTTTTTTAAAAAAAAATTTATATAATTTTTTATTTCATGTATATGAGTATATTGCCTGCATATATGTAAGTGCACCTATGTTGTGAAATGCCTGTGGAGGTCAGAAGATGGTACTGGATCCCCTGGAACTGGAGTTATGGACAGCTGTTAGCCACCTCGTGGGTGCTTGCATTCTAACCTGGATCCTCTTCAAGAGCAGCCAGCGCTCTTAACCACTCAGCATCTCTCCAGCCCAGTAACATTTGTTAAAACACCGTTATTCCCTCACTCAATTGTTTTGAGCACCCTTGTCAAAAATCAGTTGACTGTAAATGTTAGGATTTATTTTTAGATTCTTGATTTGATGGTATTGATCCACGTGTCTATTTGAATTTTAGAGCCACATAGTCTTGAGTACTTTTGCTTTGCAGTAAAATTTGAAATCAAGAAATGTGACTCTTCCAACTTTGTTCTCTTTCTGAATTGTTTTGGCTATGATGGTTTACTTGAATTTCCACACAGAGTTTAGGATTAGTTTGTTAATTTCTGAAATGAAGGCTGTTGGAATTTTGAGAGGAATTGCATCAAACTCATAGATCAATTTAGGGAGACTTGCTGTCCTAACAATACTGAGTTTTCTGATCTGTGAACAGGTGACGTGTAATTACTGAGACCCCTGTTTCTGTTAACATTGTTTTTGTCAGTGTACAAGCCTTATATAAGAGCTGAGTTTTCCACAGAGGCCTGGGATCGGGCTGAAGAAGTTCTCTCATATTTTCAAACTGTATGACAGGGGTACTGCATTTTGTCAGATGCTTTTTTTCTGCAACTCCAAAAATCATCGTGTGGTTTTCATCCTTTACTCTGTTGATACATAGTCAATAGGTGTTGAACTTATTTTACATTCCTGAGATAAACACTAATTTGCCATGGGGTAAAATTTCAGTTATAAGTTGTTGGATCTCGTTTGCTAGCATTGAGGATTTTATGTCTGCACTCAGCCTGGCTCTGTAGTTTCCTTTTCTTGATGCCTGGTTTTAGTTTCAAGCAATGACAGCTACAGAGAAAGAGCTGACACCTCCTTTATTCTTTAGAAAAGCCTGGGAAGGATTAGAGTCAATTCTTTAAATATTTGGTAGAATTCAGTAAAGCCTCCTTCTGAATTTTTCTTTTTGGGAAGCCTTAAAAAAATTAAATTCAATCTCTTTACCTGCTAGAGGTCTGTTAGATTTTCTGTTCTTCTTGGTGTCAGTTGCTCTCTTTAGGAATTTGCCCATTTAAATGTAGTATATAACTTTTGATGTACATTTTTTCGATTGCACTCCCTTAAAATCCTTTTTATTTCTGGAAAGACCACAGTGATGTTGATTCTTGAATTTAGTCATTTGCATCTTCTTGTTTTTCCTTGTCAGCCTAGCCAAAGCTTTGCCAGTTATGTTGATCCTTCAAATAACATCCTTTACTAACTGAGTTATCTTGTCTCTGTTTCCTATGCCCATTTTTATTTTTATTTTTGGTCTTTTTGAGACAGGGTCTCCCTGTAGCTCCAGCTAGCCTGGAATTCACTATGGAGATCAGGCTGGCCTCCATCTCACAGAGATCTGCCTGCTTCTGCATCTGGGATTAAAGGTGTGTGCCTCCATGCCAGGCTCTCCCATTTCTTAAAAGTAAAAGTTCAAACTGGAAGCTTCTAAATGTTCATTTTTAGCATATAAATTGTAATATATCTTCCTGAAGGAATACATATGACATACAGTTGAGACTAAAAACAAAAAACAAACTACAGATACAGGCAGTCAAAACAAGGCTTTTGCAGGCACAATGTTCAGCAAAGGGTATGAAATTCAACAACTGGGGACCTATCTCTGATGAGAAAGGTCAGAACAAGTGGTTGCCTAGACAGAGGACTATGGCTGAGAAGGGTAAGAGAATATTCTAGACATTCCCTGTATCTTGGTGCAACTCATGGTTACTTAAGAGTATTTATAGCTAAAGATCAGCTGGACTTTATGTTTAAAGCCCTTTATTGTATTTAAGTTATACCCAATAAAAGTAAGTAAAATAAAATATTCAGTACAGCATTTAGAATCTAGCTGTAGAAATTCAATTTTAAGATGTATACTTTCTTAACCAGGCCTTTAATCCCAGCACTTAGGAGGCAGAGGCAGAGGCAGGCAGAGCTCTGTGAAACTGAGACCAGCCTGGTCTACATACTGGGTTCCAGGTCAGCTGGGGCTACAGGAAGACCTGTCTCAAAAAGATGGGGAAAGAATGAGGAGGAGGAGGAGGAGGAAGAGGAGGAGGAATGCTTTCTTTTCCTTCAAATAAAATGCCTCCCCCCCCCCAAAAAAATAATGCTACATCAGAATCTAGGAGTAGGTGGGAAATGTGAACCAAATTTTCAAATGACCCAGATTCCCCTATTAAGTAGGTAACTTCAAACTTCATTCAAAAGCTATTCTGGGACAGGAGAGATGGCTCAGTGGTTATGAGCACTGGCTGTTCTTGCAGAGGACCCCGATTTGGTCCCCAGCATCCATATGGTGGCTAACAATCATCTGTAACTCCAGTTCCAGGGGATCTGATGCCCTCTTCTGGCCATGGGAATTGTTATAACATGGGTGCATATATGCAGGCAAAACACTCATATACATAAAATTAAAACAAATATATTTTAAAAAATTTAAAAACCTATTCTTGTTTTAAAGCCTGCCTTAGCTTGTGGGCCTGGAAGTGGGCTATCTTTTGAATGAGTATTGCAGTTTGCTAATTTAACACAAAGATACTAGGCAATTTCCAAATGCTTGAAAGCTGTGGGACTTAATGATGCATGGACATTTGTGTATACACCCAAATATGAAACAACGGTGACTGATCCCATAAGGCCAGAGATGTATCCTACAGGCCCTTGCCCCACTGGGGTGAGGCAGGTGTTGGTGAGTCTATTAACTGATCTCGGCAGCAAAAGGACATGTCGATCAATGGGGAGTTTGTTAAAGGATGGCATTTTTCTAACGTTTATTTCCAATGACTTTCTAGGAATACAACTGACAACTCTGCAGTCAGGGATCATGGTGCTGCCAAAACACACTGCTGATTAGTTCCTCTCAGGGGTGTGTTTGAAGAACGTATCCACCTGTGTAAACATAATTGCACGATCTGAACACACTCTCCCCTATTGCCAGTAATACCCAGGCAACAGTTTTATAAGGAATCAAAAACAGATGTCAAGGCTGTTTCAACTGGAAGAAAAATAGAAAATAAAAACTATTGCTAATGTAAATATAAAAGATTACTTTCAGAAATTACTTAAAGCCACGTTATTAAAGGGCAATCAAGAAAATGGGGGTGGAACTGAGGCCCTGAGCCAACAGTAAGGCTAGACGCTGTCATACACCCTGGGTGCTCAGGTATATAGGAGGCGAGAAGATTCACACCCTGCACCTGTGGCATCTCAGCTGGAGTCAGATCTTGTATTATTCCCTGACTAGCTAACATGACTATGAATACCATGTGATAAGTGAGGAAGGCTTGTCCAAAGAAGCCTCATCTGGACAGGACAGCTGCACTCCTCAGTAGTCACTACTTTTGCCAGTTCTGGCTAAAGGCTGTTCTGGGTACTGACCTTGTTAAAATGGCCTGTTAGGGCTGGGGGGTGTAGTTCGGCGGAAGAGCACGTGAATAGCATGGGCGAGGCCCTGAGTTCCATCCCAGCACCCTCCTGCAAAATGGCTTTGTCCCTGGAAACTCCACTGATCAAAGCATTCTTAGTAAATCCTGCTCCAAAGACTTAAAAAAGTCATCTCGCAGTTGAGGGTGTTGTGGCTCAGTGGTAGAGTGCAGTGGTAGTGTGTGTGAGTCCCTATTTCCAGTGCTGCATAAAAGGTCATTCTACGGTTCCTCTAACCCCTGCCTTTCTAGACTTTTGTGGGTGCCATTTTCTCCAGGTGGGGTACTTCTACTCCTGGGAGAGGCTTTTGTTTTTTGTTATATATAAGAAGTCGAACTGCAGCTTTATTAAAGATTCTTTTTCCCTTCACTTCCATTTTCAGTGTCAGATACTTACCCATCCCCTTCAGAATCCAGGGCGACAGCCAGTTCTGTGAAGAGGAGCCCCGTGAGAAAGTGCTGCTGGCGGTACTCTGGGGTCAGATCGAACATGCTGGCAATCTTTTGGTCCTGGAAACTGGAACAGGAGCTTGAGTTCTATAGAAACACAAGCAGCAGCTTTATAAGTATCAAGAACTGGAATTAAAACAGCCTTGGCTTGCATTTATGGAGCTCTAGCCAGATGCTGCATTCACTGACCAGCTAACATGACTATGAATCTCATGTGCTAATTAGGAGAGCTGGACTGTAGCATGGGTATTTCACTTTCCTGTTCCCACAGATGGAAGATCGACAGTTGGGAAACATGAAAATGAAGCATTCAGGGTCTGTTGAGAAATTGGACTAGGGGAATAGCTCAGTGGTAGAGCACATGCCTAACATACATGAAGGCGGCTGGGCTCCGAGTATGGCCAAAGAAGGAAAACCAAGCAAAAGAAAACCAAATAACAACCTCTTTCCCAACTGATATTAAAAGCTGAAGATGAAAAGCTTGGGTATTATGTGAACAGGGAAATGAGAACTGCACCTAGCCCTGTGCTGTGGCCTGTTTACCCAGCACTACTTCTAAAGGTCGCTTGAGCACACTGTCTGGATGTTGCTGGTCTGGAAGCAGAGGTGGTGTCAGGCAGGGAAATGTCAGATCTAGCACTTCTAGGCCATTCCTGTCCTGTGTTCTTATCCCTGGAGCATACGTTATTCTTCATCAAGGGCAGCAGAAGCCTCTGTAAGCCCTTGTGCCTTGCTGAGCAGGGGCCCTGAGTCTGTTCACTCCTTGGAACAGCCAGAAGAATCTGGGAAGGACCCAGGACAAGGCCAGCACATGGAACTCTTACTTAGGACTTAGCCTGCAGAGCAAGCTGCAGCAGAGAGATAATGTATTTAGAATTGCTCCCTGTAAGTTACATGCATCCCAGCTCACATTATGATGTTCATGCAGCTCACTTCTCAATTATACCATTTGGCATTAACAGCTAAGACTTTTATTATTATTAAGAATGGGACTTGGGGCTGGAGAGATGGCTCAGTGGTTAAGAGCACTGACTGCTCTTGCAGAGGACCCGGGATCGATTCCTAGCACCCACATGGTGGCTATGAATCATCCTTAACTCCAGTTCCAGGGGAATCTGAAGCCCTCTTCTGACCTCTGTGGCATTACACAACATGGGTGCACTCACATACATGCAGGCAATATACTCGCACACATAAAATAAAAATAGTAAATAAAATATTAAAAAAAGAGAAAGGGACTTATGGTTTGAATGAGGCATCCCCATAGGCTCAAGTATTTGAACACTTGGTCAGTTGGTGGAACTGTTTGCAGAGGTTCAGAAGGTGCAGTCTTGCTGAGGGGAAGCACGTCAGTGGGGGCGGGCTTTGAGAGTTCATAGCCATGTCCCATTTCCAGTGTTGATCTCTCTGCTTCCTGTGCCTGCTTGGAAATGTGACTTCTGCTGCCACACTTCCCACCATGATGAACTCTTAGCCTGTTATTCTGGAACTGTAAACCAAATAAATTCTTCCTTCTATAAGTTGCTTTGGTCATGATGTTCTACCATAGCAACAGAAAAGTAGTTAATCCAGGACCTCACTATATTGCTTGGGCTGATCAGGAACTTTTGGGTTTAAAGTGATCCTCCTTCCTCAGCCTCCTAAGCCCTGGGACTATAGGTGCCTATCACTGTATCTCACATTAAAAAAATTTATTAGACAAGCCTTTACTTTGTGCTAGTATCAAGAAAGAGAATCTGATACTATCCTGGGATATCTTGGCTGCTGCTCTGAGCTGCTGAATCCATATATGGATGGTGATTATAAAACAGCATTTCCTTAAGGTTTTCCTAATGGAAATCTATGAGTGTGGGGGAAGATGAGGACAGCTCCATAGTCTAAACATGTTGAGAATCACTACTTTTCACATACCCTCCCCCTCCATCACCTTTCTTTCTTTCTTTCTGGGCATTTTATACTTATGGTAACATGTTAAAAACCCTTATGGTTGGCTCCTGAAGAGGTGGCTCAGTGGTTAAGAGCACTTGCTGTTCTTCCAGAGGCCCAAGGCTCAGGTCCCAGGACTCACATCAGGCAGCTTCAATCACCTGAACTGCACATCCAGGGATCCAACACCCTCCTTGGGCATCCCCCGACCATGGCATACTCTCACATAGACACAGACATTTACCAAATTAATTCTTAAAAAAAAAACTCTCTTGGCTGCATTAGGCACCCTTGAGCCTTGGAAGAAGCTGAATTACTTACTGGTAAATCAGGTAAGACTTACTACTTCAGGGTAGCATATCATCCATATCTGGATCAATTGATCTGGTTTGAATAAGTTGATTTCTTCCTCTAATTAGTGAGATCAATGTTTATTTAGATGCATGACTAAACTAAGCTAATTAATGAAACAGCTTGACTACCTCCTTCAGTCAGTGGACTACCTGGGAGGATATGGAGGGACAGGGAGACACGGGTGCAGTATCAGTGTTCAAGAAGAAGAGGTTGAGGTTGAGGTAATGTTCGTGGCTGCAGAGGATCCTCAGGAACTCCAGCCTCATGGAAATGAGCGTTGGAAGGTTATTAAGCTTGGCTGATAGCTGAAAAATAATATGAAGAGAGCAAAGAAGTGTTTATTACGGGATAATTGGAGTCTAGTAGACACTGATGCGTTCTTTCTCTGCATATTAAGACATCAATGTGGTAAGATTACTGTGATAGTGCAACAGATGTCATTACAGGGAGCCCCAGCAAATTTTAATTCACTACTGTTTCTCTTAATGATGCTAGCTTAACAGCATTTTAAAATGAGAATTTTTGTTCCAGCCCCACAGTATCTAATCTGTAACACCATGGCAAACCTGTGTTGAAAATAAGCTTCAGGTGAAATATAATGGAATGAATTTTGCCAAAGCCCCACTGTGTCTGGGATGCTAAACAAAAAGTGAAAAAGCCACAGTTAAATTCAGAATCTGCAGGGCAGGTGGATGTCTGCTCTGGATGGCTTTTCCCTTCTGGAATGAAAATTGCCTGTGGTGAGCAGCTACCTATGCTGCTCTTTTCTATACATTCAACTTAAAACTCTGAAAACAGATGGACTTGTATTTGATATTCATACAGTGCCCTGGAACCCAAACCACCTGAAAGAGAGGGCAGAGGAGTGGGGTACTTCCTCTGTCACTTACTCTGATGGGATCCTCCCTAGGGATGACGCGTGGGTGCAGGTGCAGGGTGGGGAAGTCTTCTTAGGATTCTCTTTTACTACCCTGTTTCCTTACCAGGATATCCTTTAGGAAACTCAGGGGTTGCTTTAGTTTTGTTTGAGGAGTGTTATATAAATGAACCAAAGACCATCTCTGTGTGTCAGTTCCTAAACTGTACATTTCTTCACCGAAGGTTCATGATTACCTCACCAACACACACCAAACTTGAATTTTTTTTTTTTTTTGGTCTTTTGGAGACAGGGTCTCCCTGTAGCCCCCAGTTAGCCTGGAACTCATATGTAGACCTTGATCTCACAGAGATCTGCCTGCTTCTGCCTCTGGAGTGCTGGGATTAAAGGTGCGTATCACCGAGCCTGGCCCAAACTAGAATTTTTACACATCCACTAATTATTTCAAAATCAGTCCAAGTAGATTTCTTTGAGCATTTAAGGGAATTTTTAATAGACAAGAAGTAATTCCCTGTAGTGATCTGAAAAACATGGGAAATAGACCAAAGTAATATAAATTTAGCAATGAGGATTTGCTTTTGTAAAAGGTGTGTTGACAAATATTAAGTATTATATTTATGTTTTGATTATAGCAAATTTAAAACACAACACATCTAAGGTTAGTATTGATACTCATGCCTGATTGGATTTAGATACTATTTCATTTTATTGGAAGGACTCTCAAAATTTCATCAATGCATATATATATAAAATCTCATCAAAATCTGCATGAAATTTAAAGGGATGATATTAAAAGTAGCAATTTATTTAAAAAACTTTTTAAAATTTATTTTATGGGCATGTCTTTTTAATTTTATGTGTCTGAGGGTTATGCCTTGTTGGGAAACCCTGCTGTTAGGGTTGTAGTTCTCCATGTCCAGATAGCCCTGAGGGGCTCGGTGCCAAATGGAAGGACTCCCCTTTTCAGCAGGGGGCCTCCTGCTCTCTTCCTGGCTCACCTGGAAAGTGCCACCAAGCACCAAGCATGGATGCCTGACCTTATCTAAAAACATGACCTTTGGCATAGTTACCTGGAGTAAAAACTACCCCCAGGTTTTTTCTATATGATAATCAGGCATTGCCTGATAGTCTGGAAGATAGGAGCCCACTGCCACATGTAAATAAAGCATACTATGAGCACCTATCAACTGAGGCTTTTGCTACTGCCTCCACACTATAAATTCTCTAGTTCTCCCACTAAATAAACGGAGCTGTTTCACTGTCTGGAGCTGTATCACTGCTGTTTCACTGAGCCTGGGACCAGTCTCCCCGGAAGGGCTGTCTTCCATCAGCGCTCACTGGCCGTCCTGACCCCGTTCATCGCTTTTGCTCTCCCTGCCCTCGTGGGCCGGTGGCCAACGACCCACGAAGAGAGAGAGAGGCCCCCGCAATGCCTGCATGTATGTAAGTGCACCTGTGTCATGCATTGCTGGAAGGAAAGAAGAGGGTGTCAGATCTCCTGGAACTGGAGTTATAGATGGTTGTTAGTTGTCATGTGGGTGATAGAATTTGAACCTGGGTCTTTTTCAAGAACAGTCAGTGCTCTTAACCACTGAACCACCTCTCCAGCCCCATAATTAATTTTTTTAAAAAAAATCCTAAAATTTTAATTAACCTTCAAATTTTCAGGGCATGAAAGGTTTATGAACAGACTCCCCAAAATAAGCTCATTTTGTTTAGTTAGGATGGAAATATCTTCAAGTTTCAGACATTTGGCAAGCTACTGTAAGAAGATATAAAAGATGTTTTGGGTCAAATTATTTCTTAGGTCAGGTGGGGTGGAACGCACTTTTAAACCTAGCACCCGAGAGACAGAGATAAGTGGATCTCTACGAGTTCCAATCCAGCCCGGTCTACATAGCAAATTCCAGGCCAGCCAGGGCCACATAGTGAGATTATGTCTTAAAACAATCCCAAAACAAGCAATAAATATTATTTAATACAGGGGGCTGGAGAGATGGCTTAGTGGTTAAGAGCACTTAAGTGCTCTTGCAGAGGACCTGGGTTCGATTCCCAGCACCCACATGGCAGCTAACACCTGTCCATAACTCCAGTTCCATGCGATATGATGCTCTCTTCTGACCTCTGAGGACACTGCATGACACTTGTGCACTTACATACATGCAGACAATACACTCATACACATAGAATAAAATAAAATAAATATTTTAAAAAACAAGGAAATTGAGAGCCATATAATTTGTAGGGTCTATTTAAGTCATTAAGCTACTAACTCCTAAGAGTCACATGGTAATGACGGCACAGAAGGGGAGGATAGTTGTAGACAAGAGTAGAAATATGGAAGGAGAGGAGTAGCAACAATAACTGCTATTTATATTATTACTGCTGTGGCATTTTGAGGGAGACAGTGAATGAAAGAGGAATTACATTTAAAACTTTAAGGGAAAATAATATTGATATGCTGTGTAGGCATTACAAAATATTTACTTCATGCTTAATTCAGTCTCTGAGTTCATTGTTTTTTTTTTTCAATGTAAGAACTGCATAACAGCAACTTAATTAATAAAAAGTAAAAAGAAACCTTGTATTTTGGACTATTTGAGATGCAAGTATGTGTGTGTGTGTGTGTGTGTGTGTGTGTGTGTGTATGTGTGTATGTGGTATAGGGGGTGGTGTGTGCAAGCCAGAAGTTGATGTTGGGGTGCCTTCCTCTATTGCTCTTCATCTTCCTCTTGAGACAAGGTCTCTCACTGAACATGCTGATTACACTAGACTGACAGGCCAGCAAGGCCTTGGGATCTGCCTGTCTCTGCTTCCAATCTCTACCCCACCAGCACTGGGGTGGCAGGCATGCACTACTAAGGCCATCCCAATTTAGATCCTCATGATTGCACAGTAAGTACTTTGCCCAGTGAGCCATCTTCCCAGCCCCAGTTCTGATCAAAGAACAAATGTAAAATCATGAAATTTCTTTTAAATGTTAAGATGGGGAAATCAGATTACATGGCTAATAAATTTTAATTTATGCAGATTAACTTGCTGACTGTGTTGGTAAATGCTCCAAGAATCCTGGTGAACCAGTGTGTCTGATGGACACCACTTTACGGGCAGGAGGAAAAGACCCAGAAAGCCCAGGTATGTAGGGGTCACACTGAAGAAGGCAGCACCACAGGACAGTGAGCAAGTCAGGGAGAAGGAGCACTCACCTGGTTGCAGTAATGTTTGATGAGGTTGAACACAAAGCTGCGGTCCATGAGTGAGAGGAGGTCGTATAAGAAGAAAGCAAGGCTGATGTTGATCTTTTCTGCCTGTTCACTTTCCTTAAAAGTGGACACACAAACACAAATCATTCTGTTTGGTCTTGATAGGAGAGCTGGGAGACGTAGATCCTATTACATTATCCATTCTTACACTGAATATTTAGGTGTATTTTTTTCCTACATGCATATATATATATATATATATATATACACACACACACACATACACACACACACACACACACACACACACACATTCTGACCTCATTCTCTACATACAAGTTTGAATTCTGAATTAAAATTTTTTTTGCTGTTTTCGTTTTTGACACGGGGTCTTATTATCTAGCCCAGGCTGGCCTTGAACCCCTAATCCTCCTGAGAGCTCCTGAACTTCTGAGCCTCCTGAGTGCTGGAATTATAGCATGCACCACCATATCTGGCTAAATTTGGGGGGATGAGGGAAAACCTAGTATGATATACATTCACTGTCTTCAAGGAGATAGATTCTTAATTTGTAAGGATCAGTGTAGAAAATCCAATCAAGATAAAAGGCTCAATGTTTACCTAAGGAATTTTCTCTTTTCCAATTAGTCGGCATTCTCAGCTTGAAAGACGTCAAAGTCATAACTGGGAGGGTGAATTCTTGAGAGAATTGGGGCTAGGTTTTTTTTTTTAATTTCAATTTTAATTATGTCTCAGTGCGCACGTTTATGAGAGATTTTTATAGTATTTCATAGTGAATAAAAAGTCACCTTTTCTGGATTATATCCTTTACTTTCAAATTGATAAATCAATTCCCTCTGTTACTGTTGAAAATACAGTTTGTAATTACTTTCTTGTGCAGTTTTCAAATTTAGGCCACATGGGACCTTGTCACTGGCTCAAATGGAGACCTGATACCAAGGTCTCCAGATGTCATAGGAAATCCTCCAGTTCTCTCTGCCTCCCCCACATGGCCCTTGTCTGGGAAGGTTACAAGACTGCCTGAATAACTGGGTGTACAGTCTGCAGCCTGGGCTTTCCAAAAGCTTTGTGACTTTTGGAAAATGATTACCCTCACTGTGCCTATTTTTGTGTTTGCTAATAGTACTGCCATTCTAACAAAGCATGCCCTGCAAGATCACCAAATGCACTTGGTTCTATACAAATTCCTAATAATAAAGGTGTTACTGATAAACAATACTCCCTTCAATATTAGTGAGCTTTAATTTTTATTTTTTTGTCTTTTTGAGACAGGGCCTCTCTGTAGCCCCAGCTCCTCAGCTGGCCTGGTACTCTAGGTAGACCAGGTTGGTTTTGAACTCACAGAGATCCACCTGCTTCTGCCTCCCGAGTGCTGGGATTAAAGGCATGTGCCACCACACCTGACTAATTTTTTTTCTTAAATTTATTCATTTTAATTTTATATGTATGAGTGTTATTCTTGTATGTGTGTAAGTGCACCTGTGTCATGCAGTGCCTGTGGAGGAGAGAAGAGGGTGTTAGAACTCCTGGAACTGGAGTTACAAATGGTTGTTAGCCACCGTGAGAGTGCTGGGATTCAAACCTGGGTCTTCTGTAAGAAGAACCAGTCCTCTAAACTGCTGAGCCATCTCTCCAGCTCAATTTTTAATTTTTTAATTACATTTATTTATTTGGGAGGGGGCACATGTGCCATGGCATATATTTGCCAATCAGAGGACAACTTGCAGGAGTTGGTTCTCTCCTTCCACTATGTGGATCCTGGGGATCAAACTCAGGTCATCAGGCTGTGGATCCTGGGGATCAAACTCAGGTCATCAGTATATGTATGTATGTGTAT